ATTCACAAAAATTAGAATAATCTTAAAAATCATTCTTTATTATTGAATTTTTACTTTCAACTCATAATATTAATAAGATATCAGCAGTAAAGAATTTTATTATATATATCTTAGTCCACCTTTCTTTGCTAGAATAAAATTCCAAGTTAAGATAATTAATAAGATTATGTTACTAAGACTTAAATTTAGCAGAAGAAAAAATATTTTAACATATATAAAAATCTCTTAAAAAGTTAATGAAGATATTATCAAGAAAAGCTTTAAGATTATATAAAAAATTTTATAAAATATAATAGATATAGTAAAATAGATATGTATTACTATATTGATTATTTATAATAATATTCATATTAAGATCAATATCAGTAATAAAAACTCATAAAGTATAGTTCATGACTTGTAAAGTAAAAGAAAGAAGTTACTTATATATCTCTTTTATTTTATTATTAATCAGAACTTGAACAATAAGATAGATATGAAAATAATTGATAGCTATAAATAGGAAAAGTGACATATTATATTAGTTTATTTTATATATATTATTATTTAATATAATATCATAATAGATAATTTATTATTAAACTTGATCTGATAATATTTAAAATAACTTATTTAGACTATTTATTTTATAATCAAGTTTTTTATAATATCTTTCAATTTGATTTCTTAGTCTTTTTGATAAGTAAATATTTTAGAAGTCTTGTTATATTATTTTCTTTTCAGTCTTCTATCTTATATTTTTATATTTGATTTTATAGATCACATAAAAATATTATAATATCAGAAAACTTGATAAAGAGAAATTAATGCTAGATCATTATATCAAAATTATTTTTGATCATATAAAAGTGAATTTTTCATAAAATGATCTCAAATAAGATCTAATTTTTTATAGCATACAGATTAATCATAGAAATAAGTGGATAATTATAATTAAACTTTAATAATATCATATTAATAATTATAACTTTCTTTAGAAAAGTTATATTAATATATCAAGTATAATCAAATTACTTTGATTTGCTATTTTGTTAATTTTTCAGAATTACAGTCTTTTTAAAATTGTAAGTATTTTAATAATTATATATAAAAATATGTTATCAGTAAGTTTTCTTTGAAGATGAGTCTTATTTATTTCTAATCTTAATAATAATAAAATTCTCTTGTAAAGCATAATTATTAAAATATTTATTAATATTATCTCATATTTGAAAGACTTATTTAAAAAAAGATAATACCATTGATAATGATGATGAAGAAAGAAAACTAATGAAAGAATAACTTTGAATTAGTATCCTATAAAAATATTAATAGAAAAAATTAAGAATAATATAATATCTTATAATTATAATAGCTAAATTTTTCTTTTCATTATTAGTATTATTAATAAGCTATATTTTATTACTATTATTTAGTAATATTATTTTATTACTATTATTATTGATGAATTATATTTTACTATTATTAATAAACTGTATTTCATCATTATTACTAGATTGTATTATTTCACTATTATTATTAGTGAACTATATTTTATTATTATTATTAGATTGTATTATTTCATTACTGTTAACTTATATTTTATCTTCATTACTAGATTGTATTTTTTATCATTATTAAATAGAAATTTTTTATCATTTTCTTGCTAAACTATATGCTATTTATTATTACTATTTTAGTTAGTGTTCTCACAAAGAAGAATAGATTTACTCACAGCAAGATTTTTTTAATCAATAGGTCACGCGACATTGTTGTGTGACAACCACTATGATCAATTAGAAAATCATGTGATCTGGTTTTGTCACCTGCGGCAACAAATACATTTTTTCTATTTTGATTTATCTTTTATTTGCTCATATAATTTTTCCAAAATAAAAATAATAATAATTTGCTAGCTTATAAAAAACTTAGAAAAGTTCAAATATTTTTGAACTTTAACTAACTGGAACTTCCGATCGGAATTTGTTTATTTCTACAAGTTACACATATCCTTGACTAAAAAATTTTTTAGGTGCACAAGCTAAATATTAATGTGCACGATAATTGATTTGCATCTCGAAAATTTTTTAGAACGAACAAATGATTCTACGATCCGAAAATGCACTTGAATATCGCGAGAAACTTGTCTAAAAGTTTTGGAAATGGGTCTTTATCGGTCAGTATAAAATTTTATTTTGTTTAGACATAGTTCAATATGCATTCGAAGCGAGGGTTCGAAGTTATATAGAAAGAGTCAACTTCGAATGTAATTCGAAACTATGTAGTATTTATGAGTCGTCAATTTTTATAACGTTCTTGTCCAATTATAAAAGGGATTGGCAACTTATATAAATCCATCCTTAAGCTTATAATGAAGAAATGTCTCGGTAAATAGAGTTTATTCCGAGAACTTCAAGGAACCTACTAAATTAAAGTGGCGATAAACATTTGAACAAATCCTCAATTTTTAATTTTTCCATAAATTTTAATTCATATTTTAAAACAGTTCAAAATTACGAATTCTTTGTTATCGCGTCCACAAGTCCTCATCGATCCTATATTAATACCTAAACCAAAATTTTCAAATCATAATCGATATAATACAACTAAAACTAAATCATCAGCTTCTGCTATCGTTTATAAACTTAATCATCCACGAAGAAAAGTCCCACCTGCACCACCGACACCATCTGCTGAAGAAGCTGTCACCAATATTCTCTATAATACTCCTCCGCCATCACATATACCAGTAAAAAGACACATTTTAAATTGTTTAGTGCAGAATGAACCTGGAGTTTTGAGTCGTGTGAGTGGAATTCTAGCCGCTCGCGGATTCAATATCGATTCTTTGGTCGTGGCGAGTACGGAAGTAGCCGATTTAAGTAGAATGACTGTTGTTTTACGAGGACAAGACGATGTAATCGAACAAGCTAGAAGACAATTGGAAGATTTGGTGAATAAATATGTTAATAATTATTAGAAAATTATTTTCATATTGAAATTTTTATTTTATTTTAGGTACCTGTTTGGGCCGTTTTGGACTATACAAAGACAACTATAGTAGAACGTGAATTATTATTGGTAAAAGTTTCAATTCTGGGACCAGAATATTTACATGAACAATTGGCAGCTTTAAAGCACGAAATTTATAATGATGAATTTTTGCCAGAAGCTGATTTGGAAATAACAGAGGTAAAAAATATATATATATATAATAATTATTAAAAAAAGATTTTCTAACTTAATTATTAACTTTATTGTTTAGGATAACGTACCTAATTTAATTAAGAAGAAGTTTGACGAATCTCTTTCTCCCTCGGCAGCTTTAAGGCAAAAAAATTCACATCTACATGCTCTTAACGATTTAGCAAAATTATTTGGTGGAAAACTAGTGGATGTTTCCAGTCATAGCATAGTTATAGAATTATCAGCTAAACCAATAAGAATAGATGCTTTTCTAAAATTAGTGAAACCATTTGGTATACTGGAAGCAGCCAGAAGTGGTATGATGGCATTACCACGTACTCCAATTCATGATCGATCAGAACCAGAAGATTTATTAGAAGATGAGGAGGATGAAGGTGTAGATGCTACTATGTTACCTCCTGGTTAATAATATTAGTACTTTGGAAAAAGAAACTTCAGAATAAATTCAAAATATTTTCTAATATTCCTTTGAATTAATAAAATCTTTCTTGAACTCTCATTAATATATTATTTGTTAAAAGTTGCATTATTGCTATTTGAATTTTCTTTTGTTATAATAATGTTTTCAATTATAACAAAATTTGTTAAATATATTGATTTTATCAATATTAATTTTTATTTATTTTGATTTCAAACTCAAAAAGAATGATTTATTTAAATATATATTAAATATTTGATAATTTATTTAACTATATATAATTAAGAAATCAAGTATTAAAAAAATAGTGAATAATAATATATTTAGCATATTAAATTAATATAATATTCTTAATAATAATTTGTAATTTATTAGTTTTAATATTTATAAAAAAGTAAATATCAAAATAAATATTTAAACTAAAATTTAATATTAATAATTTTGCCAAATATTTTTTTTCTAATAAATAGAAAAATATTACTATTATAAAAAATATAAAAATTATTATTTTTTTATAATTAAATAAATTTATTTTTATAAAAAAATATTTAAAATCAAATTATAAAAATATTTAAATAATAATATAATTTAAATAAATTATATAAAAATAAATAATTTTTATTATATATTTTTAAAATTATAATTTTAATAATTTTAAATAAAATATGATGATAATCAAAAGTAATATATCAGAAATTAAATTTATTAATAAAATATAATGAAAATTAAAATTTTCTCTATATTAAAATTTATAATTTTATTAAGAAATAATTTTTATTTTTATATCAAAATAAAG